GTAATGACAGTTTAAACCGTTTCGACGGTGGCGGTGTAATCGCTGTCGCGGCTGGTTTAGGCTTTTCGTGGTGTAGAGCGCCAATAATTTCCCCGGTGAACAGTAATCCTTTCCGCATGCAGCCTATAAGCTCCGTGTATGCGTGCGGTCTCCGCACGCAATACGCGTAATGCATTTGATCCGCGCTAAAACGCATTCGGATGCGGCTCTGTCGTTTCATGCGCTTACGAACTTCGGCCTCAGCAAAAACCCGGATGTCCGTGTCTGAAAGAGAGACAGGGAGAGTGAGAGAGTTTCCGATGAGTCTGGAAAATGACGATTGCAATCGCTATAATCGGTTTCGTATTTTTAAAGCTTTACTTCCATTAGCTCCGCTCAAGCTGTTAAGCTCGTTCTATCAAATAAAAGAATTAGTGAGATATATGTATGTATGTATACATACATATATATCTGGTAATGTATGTTAGCCCAATTTTTTGATAGATTTATACTGTCAGGAAATAAAGCTTTGTGCTCGATATTGTATCCAGATTTAATATGGATGATAAGCAATGTATGAAAGTGATTGAACTTGTACTCGGAGATTTTCGGATGGATTTGTTACAATATCATCGGAGGGGAGTCGTATCAGGGGCCGAAACGTTTGGAAATGCTTTCAACATATAGCTTCAACTATTATCCTCGTGATTAATAACCACGTCATGACTTGACTCCGACTTAATCCTTGAGATGGTTCATATATTCCACAACATTTGATTGCCCGTGGAAAATGCTATCGACAAATTATTCGCCTTTATTTCGCGTCGGTGAACATTATTTTCTCAAAGAAAATATTGTTCAGCTGTATCTAAAAAATATTTCATTATTAAGGGAAGATACGTAGAAGATGCATCATCTTCCAAGGGACTCGGAAAGTTCGACAAGTTCTAGGATTCCGACAAGTTCGGAGTCGAATCCATATACGAAATCTCCATTTCCTTCGTCTCGCGACACATTACAGTGCGGAGATCGATCGTTCGAATTCCAAGCATGGCGTACAAGCGAATCGCACGGAAGTGAAATGATGATGTTTCGAGAAAGAATCCTCCTGCTCTCTCATCCTGATGTCGACCTCCGCCGTTCGTCTATCACTCGATAGATCGATTCTCGTCGATGAGCATGGCGAGTAATACCAATCGCGTCACGAAAATCACGCTTATGTCGCGAGCATATAGAGGAAGAAGAGAGAAAGAGAGAAATGAGCGAGAAGTGAGGGTGGTTGCGGGGGTGGCATCGAGTTTGATAAATGACGCGGACTCCATTTTTGCCAGCGTGGTGTGAGTGACTACGCCCGACGTAATCAACCGTTGTATTATATAACGGGGTGACTTCCCAGATTAGAAGGGTCGAGCGATCACTCCGTGAAAAGAGTGCGTAACAAACTTTGAGGGCGTAATCAAATTTGATCGCGGCAGAATACACCTACGATGCTAATTAGCGACGAGTAATGGCTCCATATTTTGCGAAGGCAGAGAGGAAAAGTATAAATTTTTAATATCATACTCTCGATGAAGAAGCCTGTAATCGAAACAGGTTTACACTGTACTCCGCGAAAAACAACATATTGTTTGCGATTATTTTCTCACCATTCTTTTAAAGTCCGATATATTATACGCTTTTTAAATGAAAGCAATCATATAGTGGAGGCTAGTATTAAGTCTATCGTCAAGTAGAGTTCAAAGTTCAGAGCATAAAAGTTATACAGACTATATTCAATATGCACTTACAATGCGTAACGGCGCAATTATCAAGGAAAGAATTAACGGGGCGATAAGACACATGTACATGGCAATTATCTTAAGGAGCATGTGTTCAAAAGTTTTTGAAAGACGTGTGAGCGGCTAATGCCTGGCTAATATCCAACGTGCGTGTATCGCGTGAAGCGAAGAACCGAGACGGAAATAATAATGTCAGAGCTTAATTGTTACTCTCGGTCATGCTGGCTGTACGGTTACTTGCGCACAATTTTCTTATTATCCGTTAATGATGCAAGAAGTCCCGGAGCGCGGCGCAAGTGCGCATAAAACTAGCCATTACGACGGCCGCCTTTACAGCACTTAATGCTAGCCACCGCCGCCACCGCCATCAGAATAGAGTCGCGGACCTCGAGTCACTTTTTGCGTTCATTCGACATTACACTTTATACCGTCATATACCACGATAACTAGTTCCACACGCTCGTAAAATCCCGCCGTCTGCGAATAATTATTTTTCATCGATAAAACGCTTGCTACTCGCTCATATCGCGTTACAATAATTCGGCTATTTTGCTCACTTGCCGAACTACCGTAACGTTTACAACGCCCAGTGGTGAATTCGCTGAAATGGTAGATTGTACAATAGCGACATTCGCAAGGCGGAGAGATACACCGCTTCCGAGAAGAGGCACTCCCGCATCCGAGATTACACGAGAGAAAAGTTAATCTTAATAAACGAGGGCAATCAGGAGAACCTAGACGAAGGTGGTTGTCGCCACAAATGTTCGGCGCATGCAAATGTGCTCTAAAGCTAGCAGCGTTTCGTCTGACCCACCCTATAAGAATTTACATACCGTTGGCTCTCTCCACGAGCCACCGTCCGCTCTTTCTCGCTCTTCGGGTCCAATCCGAAGCCTTTTGTCCGGCGCGGAATGTCCATCAACTTTTTGTCCGTTGAGGACGAGTAAATAGGAGAGTCAAATGACCAGACAGGGGCTTTAAAGGCGGTGAAATAGGGCTAGCGGCCCTTTTATTTGCTGATTCCATGCGGATTGTTTCGTGATTTAGCATAAATGTTTGATTAGATTCACCCGGCGAATTCGGACTCGATGGGTCGGAGGAATTCTGTTTGCATGAAGCGCCGTCAATGGCCATCCAATCGAGCGCGCGTAATTGTTTAACGACCAAGCGGCCCTCTTCAAGATCCTATAACGTGCATAAGAATAGCTGAAACCCTATAATCGATATTTTCAGCGATAACGACTTCTTGAATTTTAAACGACCGCGTAATGACAATTCTTCGATAATAATCTGAATAATCCGATGATAAGCGGATGACGAGAAGATCACTTCTCGATCGGTTTGCCAAACGTGATTAAGCCGGGTCGCCGTCCGTTTGCTAAATTCGGTGTCATTGAGATCTCGAGATCTCGTAAGGAGAGACGATAGCGTATGCGAATCAACGCCGATATTCAATCGGTCAAGATAACTCCTTCAGTATGGAGAATTCAGTTAGTACGCTGGGAGTTAGATTGGGCCATCAGTTTAGACAATGGGAGCTGGTTGTGCGTTTAAGGTAATCCCTCGTGAATGGTGTGTCCCTTTAGTACTTAATACATTGTCCGCTCTGATGGCCGTCCTTTATAACGTCGTAGGGCACACCCTGAACCGTCGTAGAGGCACCCCGCCGTTGAAGATGGCCAGCATTAACACCTATTTACCATGGGCGCTACCCGAGAACCCTCAACCGTCAGCAACGTTCGTCGGAATTCGACGAAAGATAAATAAAAGCGTCTATGCAACCGGGGATTATATATTACGTAAATGACAGTGACTGCTCATGCAAAATGATCTAAACGAATAAAAATAAGTGTAATTTGTATTTTGGCTTAGAAACGAGTTGTCTTGAATTATCTGAACGTCCAACTGGAAAAATAGTTATTTTGAATCACTAAGCGTAAACTATTTTCAACATCCATTATGTGTCCATTTACGTCAAGTTTAAAGTCACTACTGTCACGGTTCTTTCGTTTCTGTTGTTCTCCCTAAGGTGACCGAAGAAAGAACAAGCGCTTGGAAATGCATTTGACGTCGGGTACAAGCCACCGTTTCTTCGGTCAGTCCCTGGGGTGCGATAAGGTTCTGGACAAATGACCGGTCAGTCAGGACAGAAAACTACTGGCGGGAAAATCAGCCCTCTAAGTAAATTCGTATCAACCCCCGGAGACGGAGGAGAGAAAGTAAGACAGGGGACGAGTGATCCGTTATACGAGATTACCGAAGTAAATAACGGGATCTCTCTTTCTCGCCGGATGGGGAGAGGAAGGCGAATCGCATTACGCATAACCAAATTTCGGAATAATCGTGGTCATGCTCGCGAATCGTATGATCCTCGATCATTCATGCTCCCGTGAATCTTTACCCATCGTTCGCGGATCATCGCCCATCGAACCGTCGCGTCGCGAGAATCGCTTAATGTCCATCGCATCTTTTTATGCAGTCAGAGGAAAAAAAGCGTATATGTAGGGGAATATTTGCTGCCGTCCATTTGATTTTTCCCGTCCGTTCCGATCCAATTACACGAGAAAATCTGACGCACCGTTTATGAAGTGTCCGGAAGAGTACAGAAAGAAAAAAAAACTCTTCCGCCTAAAATGCCGTCTGAGGAATTAGATGGATTACCGGTCTTGTGAGCTGCAGGGTCCAGAAAGTCGATAAGATACATCCGAGAACGTATTTGCTCGATCGCCGGAGAGCGGAACTTGACGGTAGATTTCCTCCGACGACAAGATTAAGTAAGTGAAGAGCTCCAAATTACTTTGGAGATGGATTTGTAAAATGGCATGTAACAAGGCGAGTGAAGATATTTTTTTCGTAATGCATATCACTATGTGGAAACTTCTTCATTGCAAAATATTATTTCATATTTTAATCGCATTTAGATACTTTGTGCAATTAAATTTAATAAAATTATAAAAACGATACTTCAAAAAAACCGTATCGTAAAAAAATTAAGTTTATTGGGTTATCCGGAAAGTTTGTGCCGACTAACTTATATAATTTAATAAATGTATACTAAAATTTAAATTTTCTGCGTTTCAATTTTCCTTCAACATCGACACGAACTTTCCGGACAACTCAATATAAGAGATTTATATATTGGTTATAAAATACGAGTATTTTATTTATACAATTCTTTTCCTAAATATTTGTTTAAAATCGAAAAAATATCTAATAAAAAATATTTACAAATTGAAAGAATTTTCATGGCATCACAGAAAATAATCAAAGGTAATCAAAGATAAAAAAAAACAAATAATTATGAGAGGTATTATAAACTTTCAATTCTAGCAAAGAGCAGATATAAATATTTGAACGGGAATGAGAAATTATTTCCAGTTAGATCTCGCATGGGTAATAAGCACTAATAAGGAAAATATTTCATATCAATTCATCGACATAGGAAATATTGATTTCTTTTCGTGAAAACTTTAAAACAATCGAAGGTGAAACAAATAATTTTGAGAGATATTGTTAAAGTCCGTTTCCAGAAAAGAGTGGACATATAATCATTTGAACGGGAATGAGGAATCCATTCACTTTCCATGTCCGGTTAGATCTATCTTCGCTCGGATAATAAGCACTAATATCGGAAAATATTTCATGTCAATCCACCGACATACGAAATATTGATTTTCTCTCGTGAAAGCTTCAAACTCTGCTTCATCACCCCTTTCCCGCCATTTGCTGCTACCAATATGCATTCAAACCAGAATTCCATGTCACTCGCCGTGTGTCGCGAGCTCGTTTCGACTCCGCGAGATGGATTAATTAATCAAACTAACTCGTATGTTTGCGAGATAAAAAAACAGTCTGCGCGGTCGATCAATGTTGATGAACAATTGCGAACTTATGATAATGATCGTTGCATTTTCACCATCGCCGTTCTTTCTGATGATATTAGACATCTCCAGGCATCTGGAAAGCGTTAAAAATCATTTAAACGATGCTTATTTCACATCCAATATTGGATTGCGAGGGAACGTGACAACATTGAACGTGGATCCATTAGGGGAAATGATATAATGGTCGAAAATTATTTATGAACAGTAGATAGGTATATCTTCGTTAATCTTGCACATCACATTAGCGATGGAAACATCAAATATACGTTTATGCTTTCAGTTTATTAATAAATTTATATATATATATATTATGCGCCATTATACACAGAATGATCACAGACAGAATTATGAAATATAAAGAGAGAGACTTGCATCTATTAAATAAAATTATAGTTATCCATGAAAACAAGTTATATGATAACAAATGATGCCAATCGTCATAAACGATCGTATATAGTTGCTGTTGTCACATAAATACATGACAAGACAGTGTTGCAAGACAGGACATACAATTTATCGTTTTGAACGATTCAGTGACCTAAACGTCTTCTTTGTGCCCAGGTCGAGATGACGTATGTCGACCGCTAACCGTGTTCGATTAGGATCGACATTCTCGGATGATAATTTATTTATCTTCGCGTATGACAATCGAAAGACTGATCGGTCCTGCCGGTGTAGGTTGCCGGAGAGCAATCAGCTACCAACGAACTTCTGACTTTCCTTCTATAAGCGAGCGTTCATAAGCATTTGAATGGGCCAATCAATCACGTGGCTCCTCTCCTTCCTTCCCTCCGCTTCGTTCGTTCTGATGACGTCACACTACAGTCATCCCCTATTAGTGGGGTGTGATAGCGAGCAGCTCGTGCGCGGCGGGTCGCAGAAGAAGGACGGAGGAAGGCAGAGGAAAGCGGCGATGGTTGACAGTCCCATCCGAGGGGGGTTAGTAATTATATATTCCAAGGGTGTCTCGCCGATCAGTCAATGTTTCCGCTGCAGCTCTCCGACAATGGACCAAAGATAGAAAAAGCTTATCTGTCACCGTGCGCATACTTCCTTAGGGGATGGAAAGCGAGACTTTTAATTCGCGCCGCAATCGCCGTATCTGGCAATGAAAAATTAAACTATCTTCTTCGATTCGACCGTACAAGAGGGATGTTTAATTAGTCATGCTCAACATGAAAGATACAGTCTAATCGTAGGATTTAAACTAGCAACGTCAAAGAATTGTGATGTGATCCTCTCTCTCTAAATCTTTTTATCATTCCCTAAAAATTATCTCAGACAGTTTCTACAAGAAAAGAACGATTTTGCTGGAATATTTAAAAATTTAGCTAGATACAGATCTGAAAATAATTGTGTTAGATCGTCAAAATAATTATGTTAGAATCTCAAGCATGATGAGCAATGCTACAAAAAGTTTTGACATTCTAGCATCTAATGATTTGAGCATCTTACATAATTCAAATAAAATTATGTTCAAATCGATATCTAACATTTTAGATATGTATTTCAACAAAAGCGTTATTTCCGTGTACGATTAACACGTGCAATTGATTCTCAGAAATAAAGACGGAGACTAAATAAAGTTTAAGATTGAAACTTGTAATATTTCTTTAATTCAATGCACTTTCTGAATGTCGTACCTACGTTTGTTCTTCATAAAGCTCACACGACAAGTATGCCAATAATAGTATTTGATGTTAATCTGGCTTTGAGTGCGAGTTCACGCGACGGTCGCATCTCGAACGCATGAGCGAGTTGATTAAATTCAAACACCTCGTAGCTCGAATACCGGAACGAGCTGATGTCGACGGGAGACCTGCTATGTGCGTGAGTTCAAATATGCTCATATCGGTCCCGCTCAAAGGACTGAGGTAACTCTCGCTGTCCGACAATAGTCACGCATGATAATAGCATACCATCCGAACCCCTCGTGCAGCCTGACAACGTCCGGTCGTCTGGAAGGAGCAAATACCAAAATCGTCAGATCGACTCGGGCCGTCGGAGCCGCGCATTCTCGTAGCTACTGCTGAATTCTACACATGTGTGATTGCATTATCTATCAATGTATGTGAAATGACACATTTAGGATGATCATATGTACATAATCACAGCCTGATCATAACTACCGATATAGACTCAATTTAGAAGAAATGTCGGAATAGAAAGTTAATTTTATTCTTCAAGTATTTTCAAGAAATTATATTTAAAGATAAAAACGATACTCTACTAATCTCTATTTACTTTTCAATAATAATATTTATCTAATATTTAGCTATCATAAATTTTATATTTTATACTATTATTTACATAGCGTGATTTGTGATAATAATAAAAAAAATTAAGGCCGACTTTAAAAACTCTCGATTGCGTAGACTTATTACCAATAAAATCCCTAGAATTAAAAATAAATTATTCGAGTCAAGATAAATTCAACCAGCTTTTGTGAAGTCCAACGGATTGTATTGTCGAGGGAAAAATCAAAAACAAGCCCAATGATTTTTACGATCGTTTAAAACTGTAGTTTCGCTGGAGAACGGTCCCGCGTGTTTTCGCGTCCATCGCGTCGGCGCTCGGTTAACATATCGTGACGTTTCATCTAGTGAATCGCGAATGAACATAACAATCTCGGTTCACTCGCGATTTAAATAATTGCGCATATGACAATCCGTCACACACGATGGTTTATGCTAGTCTCTCTTTCTCTCTCTCTCTTTTTTTTCTCCGCTCACGAAGAATTTCTCTGCTGTATGAAGACTCATACAGCAGTCACGAAAATGTCGAAACGACGTAGGTACGATGCGTCGCGTCGCGTAAGAGCAATCTAAAATCTGTCAGGGCTTTGATCGATGCGCGCCGTTCGCCATTTTAATGCCTATCACCCGACAACAAGCCTCACGTGAAATACGAGTTAACCCCCGGGGCGTTCTCACCCTCATCAAAGTGCGATCATCCCTCGAGGAATTCAAAACGGCATCGGCGCCGCCGTGTGAAAATGTTTAAAACCATCGCCCACAACCCTGAATTATCGGGAATCATTATCGTATTTGCGGTACCGCTCGCACGCGTCTCGTCTATTGATTTTTCCTAGACCTGGAGTTCAGGATTAGAAAAGCCGTAAATATAAGGGTGACAATCTTTTCAGATAATCGCTATTGCGTGAAATCTTTTTAGTTACATTGTGTTGATATAAATATATGCGTGTGAGAATAACTCATTATCTTTTTCCTTTTATTAATTCAAAACGTGATTAAATTGATAGAAAGTAAATTTAGATATTCAAAAATTATGATATCTGGCGAATAAAAAATTAAAATGAACTTTTAGATATTGCTATCAGAAAAGTGCGCATTATTAAGTGACATCTACAATAAAATTTTAAGACATAAAATTAAGCATAATTTTTAAAGACATAATTGACTAATGTAAAGAGAATAATCGACTATGATTGGTTAATTTTTTATGCTTAACTTTAAGTTTAAATTTTACTCTTTAAAATTTTATTCTAGACGCCGCTTTTAGCCTTATTCGATAAAAATGACATGTGGAGCTCCGAAATTACTCAAAGAAAATCCTCGTGTGTGAACGAAACCTGGGATAATCACGAAAATATTATGGTAACCCGATTGACCAGACCGCGCTCGGATACGGACAGTACATCGAATTATCGTTAGGTGGAAGATAGGATTTACCGGGCCGCTGGAAAAACTCGGAAAATCCAATGAAGGCGGTCTAATCCTAGTGGAGTCCTACGGCAGAAAAGCGTGAGAGCGCAAACTAATGACGATTTCATTCGCCAGGAAAATTCGAAGCGACGGATGCTGTTCCGTGAAAAGCATAACATAAAACAAGCCAAACGCGGCTATTAAAACGCTATGAGCATGGATCGCGTTTCGACTGGGCAGATGAAAATTTCATTCTGCGTTACTTGCTAAATTTCACTTAAATCACACCATCGTTTCGATATGCCTGTCGCAGTGCGCGGCGTAACCGAATTTTGCCACGTGCCGATTACATTTGACAGAACGACAGCAATGCGTTGAAATTACACGATGTCGCGCGCACATCGATTTAATAATTCCATCGAAGGGTCCTAAAAATCGAATGTGAACGTGTAACTGATCCATTTTCGCGTTATCTCTTTATGGAGCTGCATTCGCTGTATATGAGATTCGTTGTGATTGCATTTGCGTCGCAAATTGTTGCAAACAACTGTTTATGAATATTCCATATTACAGCAAATTACATATGTATTATTAGATAATACACATTCTTGTACAAAATCATAATCATTTATTACGTGTTATTGCATGAGACATACTGCAATTCGCTATTCGCAACGAAATTTAATCGTCCAATTACGCTCGATTGAGACAATGGCAACAACTGTTTCATGAGGATGCGCGTCCCTCGGTGAGGATTTGATGGCTGAGGTACGATGGCAGAAATGGGGACGGAGCAGAGTAAAAGCGCAAGAACGGCACAAGGGCGCGACATATTTTCTGTAATTCACTTATGGAGGAAATAAATCCGCGTGACAGTACGTGCCGGCGAGAAAGATGAGTCCCGTAGATTTGATGGGGCGAATGCCTCGAGACACTCGTAAAAGACGCATCCGCGCTGGCGAGCATAAAATTAGAAGAATGGACTTAAAAGGATTTGAAAGGATTGTCGCGCACGTTCCCTTCCCTTTTCGCTGCCTTTAGCGAAAATCTCGTCTCCTCTGCTGCCCCTCGTCTATCCGTGTCGCTCGTAGAAAGCGTGGATATAGTTCGAGTTCCGAGTGGATTGAGAGTACGCGATTCTCCTCGAGCGGAGCGAATGGGGATGGCGGCAGAAGGAAAACGGTGCACGCGGTAAGAAGAGAAACGCATTTTGGCGTTTTGCGAAAGCTGTCGGGATGCACCCAGCATCGGAACGGGAAAACAGTTTTCCTCACGGGACGAAGCCCGGAGCAGAAAGTTCCAAAGAGAATGATACCTCCTGGAAAATGTATATTATCGCTTCGAGAAATGGCACGCCCGTATCGTCTGGTGTCACGCGAGCGTACGTCTGTCTTGTAGAAGGCTTGTAAAATTTTAAGAGAAAGCACAACTATGCGTTATGCGACGTATGTACTTGGAATGAGAGTTGGGGAGAGAAAAATGCGAACAATGAGTATCTCTGATATTCGTTATAAAGAATACGTTAGTTGAAATATTCCACTCTTCAAAAATAAGGTAAAATAATATTTATCTTAACTCTATAATTACTCTTTAAGGTAAAATAATATTTTATCTTAAAGAAATTTAGAATTTGCCAAATATTTTATGTAGATACACAATAAAAAACATTTTATGTTTCTGTTAAGATCCAAATTAACAAATTTTCCAATTGTACCTATAATGTTTCATTACACACACACACACACACGCGCGCGCGCGCACGCACACGCGCGCACACACACACACACACACACACACACACACATACACACACACACACACACACAGAGAGAGAGAGAGAGAGAGAGAGAGAGAGTGTGTGTGTGTACATATATATTCTTTATATAATCACTTTTCAGTGAGTTATAATTATTTCAAATAGAAATTAAATTTGAACATTATTGAACATTAAGTCCGAACATTATTTATTATTTAAAAATATTTACTTTAAGGAATTAAAACATTTACTTTTCGTCTAATTTATATTAAAATGTATGTACATATTAAATTATAATATATGTCATAGTAACCTCGGCTGGCAATGCGAAGGTTGCCATATCGGTAACGAAATAACAGGGGAATGAGCCCTTGCGTAAGCGTATACTGTTGGTGACATGTCGGCGAATCTGTACCGCAAGATCAGGTGCGACATAACTTGGTACTCTTTTCACCCCTGAACCCGAACCTTCAATTTGCGACAACAATGTTGCTAAAATATCTTCCCTTTGAAACCTGTAGAAAAGTCCCAATTAAAATTCTATTAATTTATTAATGTTAAGAATCGTATCTTATATAATAGTATCGGTTTATGGAAGCATTTATCTAAATTATTTGTGTTTACCTAATAGCCAAGTGCACCAAAGTGTGTCCAACGTCAAACGCGCTGCTTCTATTGAGGAGCAAGACCTCAGAATGCGTCAATTGGCGGGCAGGATCGCCACCGCTTGCCAGGTAAGCTTCAACAGGAGTGTTGTCACCCTCTACAATACCAAGACAAGCGTTTAACCAACACCAATCAGTGTGGCGTCTTAACTGCTTCAATCGACGTTCATAATCACAGTTATTCGGAGATTGAGGAGTTGACAAACTATCATTCCGACTCTCTGCATATCTATGTGGGCCTCTAAAAAGTTAAAAATAAGTTATAAACGAATTAAATAATTTATTAACAGAAAAATATTATATTATATAGAATAATATATTATAATAACGCATATTTGTAACTCAAGAAAATATAGTCAGAAATATAGTCAGAAATATAGTCAGAAATTACATGTATTTAAAATAAAATTAAATTTGATATCATTAATCTTTAAATATATTTCCTCTAAATAAAATTTGTATATTTTCTCTGCAGATGTGAAATATAAAATATTAATTTAATCACCTCCTTCCTATCGCTAAATTATCCTCTCTTTGTGTCTGATGAATATAAGGTGCATGTGGGGGCGATGGTAAACCTCGTTGACTATGTTCTCTCTCGGGACTCGGTAAAATCACTCCTACATTTCCGTGTGTCCCCTTATCCCTTCTATCTTTCTCCTTCAGATGACCGCACATCACGCATTTAGTCGCCTTGGGCCAGTTCTCGTAAGTACATACATGACAGGACCATTTTTCTGGATGCATATTGTACAATCTTTCCGGATGGAGATTAATCGGCGAGGGATTCAATTGGGAATTCGATCCCGAGTTTGGTGGTCCATCGGCCAATCGTAGTGGTGCTAAATGTTCATGTAGATTCGATGCTAATGAATTGACAGACTGATTAACCGGCTTCCGGTTGCTACATTGTACGCACCGCGTTGTATTTTGATAATTAAGATAAGTGCACATGCTGCAAGCCCACTTTCCCGCCGAAGGCAGATTCTGGCTATAATTTTGCGAGGTGAAATTATCCGTAGGGCTTATCTGGGATACTGGACCAGAAGCGACGTTGGAGGAACCTCTTTGAGGGCTAGGATCTCGAAGACGATAAATATCTTCGCCCAGGAGAGGCTTGGCACCTCTGCACATGGTGCATTTTAAAGAAGAGGGCCAATTCTCATAAGTGCAGTATTCGCAAGTCCATTTCTGTTCTGTTTCCTCGAATCTGCTGGTCATCTTCAATGGATGGAGAAATTAATTGATGGAGCTTTTGGTCTCGTTGTTGCAAGAGATGCAATATTTCTCGATGTGGAAGAAAAGTTGAAAGATGACGTTGAAATGTGCACTAGACATTAAATATTTTTTTAAATATCTTAGTTGAATTTTCTATGCTGCGCAGCACAATCTATTTGAGACCAAGTAGGAGATTTGTGACCAAGTATGGTTTATAGCCCAGTATACGCTATGTGATTAGCATTATGATTGATTGTAATTAAATAAAGCTACTAGATGTGCCAATATAGACATTAGTGGAAGAACCTGAAAAAAATATTAATATTTATTAAATATATTGTAAAAAATATAAATGAA